AGGTAACAGGGCAAAGCTGGGACTCTCTCTTCCCGGAGAGAAAACGTGGACTGTATTTATGCCCTCGCCTTGCTACCTGACAGCCAGCATTGCAGGGAGAAAGCCAGACAGACTGTGCAGGCAACCAGCACATACTGTGCACCTGGGGGTATGGCCCGACAGCACCCTGTTTGGGGAGCGCAGCCCCAGGAGGTGAACTGGAGCACCCATCCACCCGGGATATAATGTGGCAAAGTGCAGTCATGGAGCAGGTTGTTTAAAAAGGTAGCAAAACAGCCTGATTAGCCTAATTCCCCCTCCGCTGAGGGTCACCCTGGTATTTCTGTCTTCCTGGCACTTTCCTGGCCTCCCTGAAGGAAGAGCAGATACCAGGAGCCAGCCTTGCTTGCTTTGCCTCCGTCTTTCTGCTGGCTGGACGGTGCTGGAGGAGCACAAAATGATTCAGGGCTGGTTGGTTGATTTTAATCCTCTGTCTTAGCCTCAGAGACTCCTGTCGTGGTTCAGACCTGCCTTAGAAAACATTGCATGGCACAACAGAAACAGCAGCAAGTTTAACCTGGGGCATTTGGGCCCACACGAGAGCTAGTGCCTTCCCTGCCCCTTCTGCACAAGAAAACTTGGGCTTCAGTTTGATATTCTGCGAAATGCTCATTTCAGTAGAATTTCTAGATGGGGGTCAGTACATTTACAGAGCCGTGACAGATCGTTTGAAACCATGGAAGACTGAATTGGTTCATATAGGGAAGTGACCTGGTTACTGTGAATAAGAGGGCCTAGTCAGGAAGGATTTTCGTCTCTCTTCTGGGCTGCCTTTGCCTTACAAGGCCATCAAGCTTGCAAGAAGACAGCTAAATTAGATTAAAGTTGGGCAGCAGCGTAGAATCTGTGAATATACAGGTCGCTCAGTATTGATTCTGGGCTTCCAATTTTAGACTGTGTTCTTTTCTTTTCCTTAATGTGAACCCATTACAATGAACTGCTCTCGCTGCTCATCACTCAGTAGAACAAACAGTAATCATTACAGAAAAGTCCCCTAGGCACAGGTAAACAAGGTAAGTCTTCTTAAAAATTCATGATGGGGACAGCCATGTTTGTAATTGCCATCTGTAGTCAAAACAGTGGAGTAGAAGGCGAGCATGTTACGTTCGTAGCTGTCATCAGGCCAGGAAAGCTGCAGTTATCTAGGGTGTTCCTCTTGCCATCACCCAAACCTCCAAAGTACAGTTTTGATCAATTGGACTCCATAAAAGAACAATCAGAATGGGCAGAGCTCTAGAAAAACTTACATATGAGAAAAAAAAAAATTTAAATGCAAGCCGTTTAGCTCCCCAAAAGATAGGGGCAAGGTGGACATAAGCGTCCCTGTAGGTAGAAAGCTACTTCAGAGGGAAACAATACTCTGTTTTCATGTCTGTGGCAGATCAGAGTCGCAGTAACGGGGTCTAAACTGCTCCAGGATGGCTTCAGGTTAACTATTAGGAAAAGCTTTCTAGCAGAAAAGATGACAGATCCCTGGAACGGGTTGCCTGGAGGGAATATTGCCTACTGGAAATGCCATTGCTGAAGGTTGTTAAGGACAGCTTAGACAGAAGCCATCAGGTATGACATAGATAATTGCATTGCCGTCTGAAGGCAAGGGACAGTGGGTCCAGTAACTTCTGGAGATCCCTTCCAGCTGCTGAGGTTTTGATAAGATTTCTTCCTTAGGTGAAATAGATTGTATGTAATAACATTGCCAAGTGGAAATATGGCTTCTTTCCTACAGGAAAATTTCCTGTGTGTTTTCTCATTGCCAATCAAAGTACCTAAAAGGCTCTAATCCAGTAAAGCTAAGCTACCTTGGGGAATAGTATTTCATGTTGCTGCTTACCTCGGCCATGTGGTCTACACCTTTGAGCTGCTGTGCTCTCTGCCCGTGGGGCTGCCAGCCAGGCAGCAGTTCAAAATAAAAATGCTGTGATATTTGGCCCCAAACCCCTCACCCACCCCGGCGTTAGTTTGTTGGTAGTGTTTTTTTTTAATTATTTTTCTGAAAATGAATGCAGAGGTGGCTTGAAGTCCCCTTTGCTAAATCCACCTGCCATAACACTCCCTGTGCTGCAGATGAGGGGCTCCAGTAGGCAGGTGAGGGTGTGAAGCGCTTCTTGTGTGCCCCAGATAATATTTATTATGAGAAAGACAGCCTTAATTTGCCATTTTGCTCCCCATTGCCTGTCTTACATGTAGAAGGTGTGCAGCCAGGACTGTGGGATATGGGTGTAGGATGTCATCGCTGGTACTGCGTGGCTTCTGGTCCCCCTTTGGTGTTGGACAGTCGGCCTGTCTTGGTCAGTGTGTGTGGATCCAGGCATGCCTTACTGTCAACCTCTGGAGTCTGTTCCACTTACAAAACTCCCTCCTGCTATTCTTTCAGTCTCCAGCCCCTGAGCCCCAACTTGGTCCTGATGCCGAGGAGGAGGAGCTGAAGAGGAAGCTGGAGGAGTTAGCCAGCAACATCAGCGACAAAGGAGTCTCTTCTGAAGAAGAGGAGTGTGAGGAAAAGAAGAAGGGAGCGAAGAAACCAGAGATGAGTTCTTCCAGCGATGACGTGGCCAGCGAGGCTCAGAAGGTAACATGCGTCCTCCCACACGTACTAGTTCTGGGCACAGCTAGGCCATGATAATGGGTCTGTTGGTCTGTCCTACGCCGCCATCTCGACGGCTCCTAGGACTGTGGCCTGTTTGGTTCAGCTGCCTGCTGAAACAGGACGCCTGACCTTGCCTGCCAGTCAGTAGGGCTGGGTGGCAGAATTAGGGGCAAGTGACTGATGATGGCCCCGGTGATTCAGATGTGCATTAAGGGTAGGGAGATCTTGTATCTCTGCCATTGTGCAGAGCCTTGTAAGGTGGTCCATCAGCACAAAACAGAGAGGTCGGCATTCCAGTGTGTCTCTAATGGCTTATTTGTTCATCTCCTCCCTTGTGCCGCGGTCGTGGATAGAGTATGCATGTGTTTGCTTTGTCACGTGCGTTGCTGAAGAGCACTATAAAGGAAGCGAGCGTGAGCAGCGCTGCCCCTGTGCTCTTGTAAAAAGGTCCTTTCATCTGAGTTTGCAGACACTTTCGTTTCGCCATGAGGCCCTCTGGTCAGCACGCTTTTGTTCCGCAGCCTTGCAAAGCGAAACTTGGCTGCCGTTGGGCAGGTGGTTTGGAGAGCATGGTAGGAGGGGGCTGCGTGCACGCGTGTGGCACACATTTAATGCGTCCCTATCAGGAGGTGCGAGCCTCTCAGCAGGGCCCTAGTTAAAACCTCAGGGGCAGAGCAAGTGGCTGTTCGCAGGAGGGCTGCCCTCAGCTTCTTGGGTACTGCTGTTCACGCCGCATCAGGAGCGTGCTCTTTCCTTACCGGAAGGCCCTTTTTCCTGAAAGCTGCTTTTAGATCAGATGGCTGCAGCCAGACGAGCTACCGCAATTAGCAGAACGATGTGCATCTTCTCAGTCTAAATGGCCAGTAACTGTTATGCACTTAATTAGAGCACAGCTGGTAGGTGGTAACTCACCAAGCCAAGGCAACTTAACTCCTCTGTGAGCTGTTTATCTGCAGCAGATGGAGGCTCAGATGCTGACCTGTGCTGAGGGTCAGGGAGAAGTTAGCGGGGTATCCACATAAGCTCCTTGAGTCTAGTAAAATGAGACCTAGATGCTTGCGACCCGCCCTAAATTCTGCTGCTTTTTTAGGTGGAAAAGCAGCTATGAAGCAGGGGTGGGGGAAACAGGCACCATGGTTGCTTCCTGGGGAGGTGACCTCTGGAGTTATATGACTGAGCTCCCAAACAAAGAGAGGCTCAGGTGTTAGGTGCAGCTGCCTTCTACCCATGCGAAACCAAATCTGAGAAGTGGAACAAAATTCGGCTTTGTGCTTCGCAACATCACTTTGACTCTAAGTGTCAGATGCCTTCCTGCAGCATTAGAAATGACTGCGGTGACATGTAGGTGAACCCCTCTGGCTTAAAGGCTGTGTCAGGCTGGATTTTTTTTTTATCCACTTTCCTTACGCTTTTCCGAAGTTTGTTAGAAGTATTTACAAAGACATCCCTTGTCAGAAGACCCAGCAGCCATCTGAAATAAACTTGATCCGCAGTTGCCAGATCTAACTGTGAGCTCGTGGTGGTGGGCACAAGTCTTCGTTAAGATCAGCACCGTTTCTTTGTCCTGTCCAGACCAGGGTTGGATTTTGCATGATTCTGAGTTTGGTTTTACGTCAGTGTCCTGTCCAGTCAGGGAGAAATATTCTAACTGGGAAACACTGCAATAAAAGCAGATGCTCCTAATGGAAAATACGAAACTCAGCTGTACCACAGAGGCACAATAAAATAATAAAAATATCAGCTGGACGGAGTTAGCTGGTTCTTTGCGGAATGGCTTGCCTGGAAATACGTGCAGTTGTAAACACAACTGTTTGTCTTTGTCTCCAGTGCATATATCCCCCCAATCTCCTTGGTATCTAGGGAATTATCAGTAGAGAGAGGGATGATGAGTTTCTTCAGTCTATTTTTAAATGTGCTTAATGCCTTATCAAGCAAAAGGGCAAACGCAGGCAGCACTTACAAGCGACATTGCTGTCAGTGCTCCTTTGGGGTGGGAGAAGGGGGATATTAGTCCCAAGTTCTGCCAGCGTGGAAATGCAATACTATTTTTTCTTTTGCCACAGACTCTCGGTTTTATTTCCATCCATGCTCAGACCTGCTGAAGTGTAAAGCAATATGCTGCAATTAGACTTTACATGCTTTTCCGGTGCGGCAGGACTACTGGCCATCCTGGGAGGCAGCCTGGGAGGAAATAGGGCAAGAGGGTGGGTTTCTCTCCTGTTCAACATCAGGATCCCCAGGCAAGTAAATCAGTAAGCAATGGGGCAGCGTGCTCTCCTCCTGCCTAATACTGGTTTCGCATCTTGCCCACACACGACAGCTTCTGGCTGTGTGTCTTCCCTTTCTAGACACGGCTCCTCTGTTTTCTCTTGCCATGCTTTGCTGGGAGATTGGAGGCTTTTGTGTTTCTGTCTATCCCGTATCTGGGCTACGGCATGGCCAGCAAACCCAGACGGGGCCAGGGTGCACTAGGGCCTGTTGCAAGGGCATTTGCAGACGGAGCTGGGGCGGGCACGGCGAATGTCAGGCCTTCTTGGGGACAAAGAATTGAGTGCGTGTGTGCTGACTGACAGGTACAATGTATTTCTGCTGAGGAAGTCCCAGGGAGATGTTACAACCACAGCCAGCGCAGAGATGTGCTCTGCTGAGCGACGCAGGGAGCAAACACCCCTCCTGGAAAATCTGTGGTCTGTCTCCAGCAAATAAAAAAAAAAAAAGAGGGGGGAAGGAAAATTTACCCCTGCTTTATAGAAAGGGAAGTGGAGCTAAAGTCCAGGCATGTGCCTTCTCCGTGGATTCATCTTTGCCATCGCCGGCAGCATCCCAGGCCACCCAGTGTGTTCGGGCACTGCAGGGAAGGTCTTGCATGTTAGCACATCTTCTCTGTCACAGGTAATGCCTTGTGGCCCCAACAGCGTGTATTGTGGTATTTCCAAGGCAGTAGAGCGTTGTGAAGGAAGAGGAGCAGACAGCGAAGGAGTTAATGAAGCAGTAGGAATTGCTACTGACCCCAAAGAAGCAGGGAGCCCACGATGAGCTAGGTAGCGTATGAGCATGCAGCAGGAAGCAGTCCTTGCCCAGCAGGTTACCTGGGGTTGCAGCTGGGCTGGAGACCACCTCGGTGAAATGATTGGCGTCTTCTGTTGGGAGCAAAATGGAAATTATTTCGCTCCCCGTGGCACAGTGTAGACCTGTACTGAGAAAAAAAGTCGTTCACATCAGCACAATCAAGAGAGGGGACAGCAACATGAGGAGTGAAAGCTAGGGACCTCTTAACCATCTCCACCACCAGAGAGACCGCAGTGCAGGCCTGCACCCTGCAGTCCTTCGGGGCTGTAACCGCAAGTGGCCTTCAGATGACCAGGTGCTGCTGTTGTCAGATGTCTCCAGTGGCACCTGTCCCAGGGTGGAAAAGCGTCCTGTGACAATTTCTTTTTAAAGCCTCTCTGCCTCGTTGGCAGTAGGTCCGGCACCAGATCCTGGGAGGAAATAAGCTGGCCTTTCGCTGGGCTCTGTCACGGACCGCAGTTATGCGCTGGCGGCTGGCTAATGGCAGCTCTCCACTTGCATTTTGAGGTGATTTCTTTTGTCTCAGCCATCTTCAAGAAAGCAGGAGCCGAGATCAAAGCTCTGTTTTAGCTGCGCTTCCATCTCTGGTTGAGAGCCCTTCAGGAACAACGTAAGCCCCTCAATTATCGCTTCTCCATCTTTCTCCAGCTCCTGAAGGCCTGATGCCCCTTCCACCCCCATTTGCGCTGTTTTTGTAAACCCGTGAGTACATGTTAAAATAATGTCCTTCTTTTCTCCCCCCCCTCTTTTTCTTCTTCCCCACCCTCCGCTTTGGCTGTGCCGGGTGTTCGCAGAGGTCATCAGCTCAGGCTTTGAGCGACATCACGGCCAAAGTACTGAAAGCCATAAATGCCACGGAGAGAGCGGTCTATGAGTCCTTGCATGGAGAGAGCCAGTGCAGTGGTAACTGTGCCCTCCCTGGAGGGCAGCTTCCCAGCCCGAAAGATGGGAACGAGGTGGCCGAAGCATACCGTGAGCTTGAAGAAAATGTAAGGTTCCCAAGCGTTTTCTGTGAGCAGGGAGGGTATTAAGGGAGGAATACAGAGGACTGCCAAAAACCTCTTGTAGCGGGTATTTCAGCATTAAAAGGATAGGCATCCCTAAGGGATTAGAGAGTCGGGTGTGTGCTCTCCATATGCATGTAAAGATCCTGGACCTACCTGTAAAAAAGAGCAGGAGCTGCTAGGGAGGAAGGTGCAGAAGGAGGGTGAAGGACTCATGCTCCTGGCCTGTGTTCCCCAGGCAGGAGGGGTATGAGAGGACAGCCAAGTGCTAGGAAAAAAATGGTGTTTTCAGCTGCATTTTTGTTCTTCTGGGGCAGGGGAGTTCGAAACGGTTGCCTGTTAAGTTGTAAAGCTGTAAGTCGTAAGGTTCAGGGTAGAGCTCAGGGAAAGGAAAAGGTTTCGTTCATCAAAAAAGGAATAACGGAGGGGCTGACTCATTCATGTTTCCTTAAACACCTCAGACAGTAGGAATTGGTCATAACGGATGAGGTACAAAGGCCCTTTAGCCCAGGGCCGTGTCTGATAGAGGCCGGGACCGTCTTTTGAGGTGGGGAAGGCATGCAAACAGAGCAAGCGCAGATGACTCTGTCTGGCCCGTAGCGTTCGTGAAGAGGCTGGACCAGCGTATCTCTTGATTACGGGTGGCTTGGGTGGGTTAGAGCCCTGCGGGGGCGGGGGGGGGGGGGGGGGGGGTCCAATGGGAAAGGATGTGAACTTCGGGCTTCCTGGCTGCTTCCGTCAGCTGTTTGGCAGGAGCGAGGCAGCGGGTAGATTAACGGCCCTGGGGAGCGATGCGCTCGTCCTGCCGCATCCCTCTGAGACCTTGGCTGAGGCGCTTCTCGCTCGCCATGCTCCGAGGGACGCCGAGGAGCGCTCCTCGAGCGTCACGGCTCCGGGATCTGCCGTTTAATGGCCCTGACAGCAGTTTGTGCCCCCTGTGACTCACAGATTGAGCGGCTTAGCAAGCAGCACCTGGTAGCGTTTGCAGTGGGCTACGGGCGCGCTGCCTCGTGGTTTGCACCATGATCAGCAGGCCCTGGCGTGTGCGGGGTGGGGGGCTGTTGCTGCGCTTTAGGAGGGTGGTCAGTACCTTAGGGTGCAGAGAGGGCTCGTGCCAACCAGCTGCGCACGGTAACCAGCCCAGGAAAAGTGGAGCAGGCTGGAGAAGCAGGAATTAAGTTAGCAGCACCAACGTTTTGTGATCATTCAGCAAAGCCATGGCAGCAACCCATCGGAAACTGCCGTGACCGTCCTACATTATTGCATGCGGACGTATTGACGTCTCACAAATTGCCTCACTTGGACTCGCCTCCTTGTGGTAGCCAAGGAGGAGTTAAGTGCCAGTAAAACCAGTGTGTTAGGGTGGGTAGTCATACTCCTTTCACCTTTCTTATCTGGGCAGCAAGGCAAACACGGTGCTTCCAGTAGCTGTTGTGCATCCCTTAGCTAACTCTCCCTAGTTCATCTCATTGCTGTGTTGGGCTCCACGTGCACGTATGTCTTCCGGGGCGCCCAGCCGGCATGACTTCTGCCTGTCGTATCCAGAGCAGTTCCTGTGCAAAGCTGCATTTTGCAAGGGCCGGGTTGGTTAACTGCCCCAAGCCAAACTCCCAAATCCTGACCCTGCTCCCAGGCAACCCAGCAACACGGACACCCTTAAAAAGGAGCAGATTTGGAAAGTCAGTCTGTCTCGATCCTGCAAACGTCCTCTTTCCAGAGGAATGTGGCAGCCTGCTCTCGTTTCCAGGTACCCACCTCCCGCCGAGGGCATGACATAAAGATGCTGACGCTGCTCAAGTGGGTCACAGAGTTACGCTCCTTCATGTAGTCACGTTGAGCCTTTTACCACTTCACCCAGTTAGTAATCGCTCTTGACAAGCCCAGGGAAGGGAGGAAATGAGATGAAAAGCCCTGCCAGAACTCAGTGGTACTGTCTGTGCTGCAAGGCGAGAAGGCAGTCGTACAACAGCGGCGATCTTCCCAGCGGTGGGAGTCGAATCTGGGGCTGTGGTCACACGAGGAGAGGAGGCAGCCAGGGAAGTTAATTGCGCCATGGTTTTTTCTTGTATTTCAGGTGTACCTGACTGCTGGAAAGACCTACCGGCTGGAGAAGACCCTGAAGGAGCTTGAGGAAGGGGCTCAGCACGGCGGCACCACTGACTCGGAGCTGTCGGAGCTGGAGGACAGAGTGGCCTCGGCAGCCGCGCAGGTGCAGCAGGCAGAGAGCGAGGTGAGGACTTAAGCTCTGGGAGCCGCTTAGCTGCCAAGAGCCCAGGCCGGCGACAGCGAACAGAGCTGGCGGAGGCCTTACTGCTTTCGGTACCTGAGTGCCTCACACTGCTGGCAGGCAAGTGTTCCCTTTCCTAAATACAGTCATGGATCCTCTGGGGACTGTCTGTATGTTTTTGCCTCCCTCCATAGGTATCAGACATCGAATCTCGAATTGCGGCCCTGACAGCTGCAGGGCTGACAGTGAAGTCGGTGGAGAAAGCAAGGAAGAAATCAAGTGCGCAGGTGAGCATGGAGGACAGTGGAGGTGAGGTCCCAGCTCCGAGTGGTGCGTGCTCCTCCGTCCCCTGCTTCCATCCCTGGGTGCTGGGACGGGCTGCCTGGCCTGTTGGGCAGTACCAAGCTCCCTCGCTGCTGCCCAGCGCTTTGCCCCAAGACGCTGAGACTTGATGTCTCACTGAGGAAGGAGTAGGGGGTTGTTTCTGGGGCAAAGCTGAAAGACACCCTTACATGCATCGAAAGAGTATTTGGTGCTCAGGACTAGAGCCTCCTCCAAAGGCCTCCATCAGCTTTGCAGGAGCAGGAGGGGGTCCTGCAGAGGGGGGATTCGGGACTGCTCCATGCACGGCAGCCTCTGCTTGGCCCAGGAGACGTGCTCCAGCCTGTGCATCAGCAGACAGCCCCTCTGGATGCTCAGCCACGCACAGCCACACAATCCAGGGCAGATCTCTCTCAGGGTCTCTCCTTAAACACTCGCTCTCTTGCCTCTGAGTTTGCCTACAGTAAGGGAAGAATCTCAGCCTGCCACTCGGTAGACTCAACCTGTGCATTTCTGTATCGATTTTTATAACAGCAGCTCATCAGATAGAGTTCCTGCCACGGCAGTGCACCGGCCTTTTTTTGCTCACCTTAGGATCAATCCAGGCTAAGCAGAGGTGAGAAAGCAAACAAAGGCAAACTGGGTTGTCCAAAAAGCCTGGAATAAAGCCCCTTTCCTGAGTCCTGCCTAGTTCAATGCACAGTCCCTTAGTGCAACTTTTATCTCCATGCCCACCCTGAAGCTTTCCGTGAACTAGCAGGAAAGCATGCAGCCATAGCCCGTTAGTCTGACAGCTTTTCCTTCCCCTGCCAAACACCCAGAGAAATCTTTGCTCTTCCCTCTATCTGCAGGGCTTTCTCCTCCAGTCTCCCAGGCCTGCCAGCAGCAGTCCAGGGGAGCACAGCGCTGAGTCTCCGGATGATATTAAAGTGAGTATGTGATTAATCTGGGCTTGGAAGTCTTTCTGCAGTGCTCCAAGAAGCCGGTTTGAACACCAGCCAGAGGGGCAGCGGTTGAAACACAGCTTTTTGAGGAGTCTTTGAGGCCGGAGCAAGCGTGGGGACCATGGGCTCTGCTCTGCTGGGGGAGTCTCATTTCGGCACACAGCGACAGGCCTGACCTGGCTTAGGTATTAGTGGCGGCGGTGTCTTCGACCTCTGACCTGGTGTCTAAGACCCTGGACAGGTTTTTGTGGCCTCAGATGCCTGGTGTCACTGTTGGTCGCTGCTGCGTTGGCTCGTACAGCTTCCTGGGGTGTGTATGTGTACACAGGGCAGAGCATTAGGCCTGGGGACAGTGAGGCCAGCATATCCAAGAGCTTTCAAAGTGGTGGAAGTGCAGCCTTCTGGGGGGCTTCATCCTCCCACCCCCTTCCCAAATACAGACTGCTCCCCTTCCTCTTGTAGGCGATGTCGGGACCCCAGGTGTTCAGGAGGAAATTCAACAGTTCTCTTGAAATCACAGGTAAGAGTTGCTGCCAAGGGGGAGGTGGGGAGCTGTGGGTGCACAGCCCAAGCTGGGGGACGCCTGGTCCCTGCGCTCAGCCCCACGTGTGTCTGTGTTGGGGGTCTCCTGTCAATCCAGCCACTGCGAGCCGAGTCCTGTGCCAGGGAGGAAACCTTTTCTGTGGCGGATAACCTCCAAAGAAGGAGGCATCTGCGGGATTGAGGCCATCCCTGGGATCCTGGGAGAGTGGTGCTCAGGCTGAGCTCATTCCTGTACAGCTCTTGGTGACAGAAGACCAGGACTTTCTGTGCAGTTTGGGTTTTTTCCACCCTAGTTTCCAGGGACACCACTGTGTTACTTGATTTATGGGGTCCCATTGGCTGTGCCCTCAGATTTAGTCCTCAAAACTTCACCTCAGCCCATCATCTCTTCTGTTAGCAATTTCTTCCTCATCTTATCATGTTGGGGAAGGCATCCTTTACCCCTTCGCCTGCCTGCCTGCCTCAGCCACTGGTCTCTGTTGGAGGGCAAGAGTCCCTCCACAACCAAGGTACAAAAAACAGCAGCTTAAAAGTGCTTCAGAACAGGCAGTGACCTGGAACTTGGCCCAGCAGTTTGTGTGGCACGGGGCAATCACTGGAAACGTTTCATGCTGACAGATATCAGCAAGACCCGCTAGGAAATGACTTTCCTATTTCTTTCTTATCTTGACTTATAAGCTTACAGGCAGAAGGAATGGCTCTCCTTCCAGATAATGCCAAATAGAAGGTGAAGGCAGGAAAGAGGAGAAAAAGATAATTTAATGCAGGGAAGGAATCACATTTCCTCCATGCACACAGACAATCGAAAGTTCTCTTTCCCAAGCTGAGGCTGGTAGGTGGTAAGGTCCCTTCTCCTTGTGCTGAGGAAGAATCATCTGCTCTCCTTCCTTTAAAGGGCAGCCAGATAAAAGGCAGCCCAGGGGACACGTCAGCCCCACGAGGAGACAGGGATGCCTGGTGACCTGACGTCACCATGAGAGCCTAATCTCCTCTCTGCCCAGGATGGGCCATTTGGGGGACTATCTCCTGACTGCCCTCTGTGCAGGTCAATGACTTGCAAAGTTGGGCCTGCACCAGTGAAGATAGTGGGAAGTGGTGGCAGTGAAGAGGACATGATTTAGTAAGTCAAGAGACAAGGTGAGAGCTCCCCATGGGGCTGGGCTTTCCAAGGGATTTCACTGTACCATTGAGATTCTCAGGGCAGAAATACTGGGAGATGGCCAGTGGCAGGCTGACCCAGCTCGCCTACGTGTGTGGATGCGTCACCGTGACTCTGCACTTCTGACCCAAAGTCACAGCAGGCCAAAGAGCTCTCCGCAGCCAGGATTAGCCACTACTAAAGCAACGAGAAGGCTCTCGTTGCAGTGTGCGAGCATGTTTGTGAAGTGTGCCTGCTGTGTTGTGTATGGGGATAATAAAACCTGAGTGCTTTAGCGGGTAATTGAAACCTCTAGCAAGGTGCATTAGGCACTGCTGTGTGGTGTTGTTTGCCTCAGACCCAAAGGTCAAATTTTTCGGTTTTATGCCACAGTGGGTTGGAAGCGAGTGCTGTGAAGCGAGTGGCATTAGCCTGAGGTGGAAGTGCTGTGAGAGAGAGGAGGATTGGGGCACCCTTCACAGAAGCTATTTCCAAAGAGCTGAGCGCCCTTTCTTGTTGCTCGAGCTCCTTATGCATCATCATTCCCTGCCTTAGCAGCTCTCATGTCTCCTCTTTTAATACAGGCAGCGATGACTCCTTTGACCGCAACTCCATTTACCGCGGCTCTTTGACACAGAGAAACCCCAATGGGAAGAACAGGAGGGTGGAGCGCCTCTTTGCGGTATGATCCCAGCAGCTCGGGAGAGATCTTTTGGGGGATCTGCAAGGAAGCAGGCCAGGCCCCTCTGGTCCGGCTGGCTTGAGTTCCCTGTGGGTCCGGGCTCCCTGGGGTTACACAGAGGGACCTTTCCTTAAAGATGTTCCCCTCAAGTCTGCAGAGCCCCAGGCTCTTGGTGGTGTTGGCCAGCAAGGGCAGACACATCCCAAATCTTGGATGTTGTTAGCTCCCAGAGGAGGAAATAAAACAAGATGTACATCTTTGAATTCCCACTACCTGCGGTACGGCACACGGGAAACAGCCGGTTCAGGTCATAGCCTCGTCCCGCGGCAGGAAGCTGGGAGGTGAATGGGCCACCCATCCCCTGGGGCAGCAAAGGTGGCTCGTGGTGGCATGGGGCAGGCAGCACAGACCTTGCCAGCTGCCCCCTGCAAGCTTTTGTAGCGCGCTGAGATGATCCCTTTGGTCCCTTGCAGAAGCCTGTGATGACCCACCTGCCCTGAGGAAAGGGGACCTCCTCCTGCCGCTGCATTTCACTGATGATACAAGACCTCAGCGCAACGCATCACCTTCTTTCCCTCACCGCTTGCTCTTCCTTCTCCTGCTCCCTGCTCTACCTGAAAGCCCGGATGGGAGGGAAGCAGAAAGCCCGGCCAGGGGGCCTTGCTGGGAGCTGCTGGGGAGAGCAACAAGACACTGGGGTCGGGCCACGAGGCCAGGTCACCTCACGGGAGGGCGCGTGCGTGAATTCTTGGCTTCGGGCAGCTCTCTTCAGTAACAGGCCAACTGAGGGGACCGGAGGGGTCCTGATACGCTCCCCTCCTTATCCCTGAGTCACCAGCAGGGAGCTACAATTCAGCCGTTCAACATGGTGGCCATTGGTGGTGACTCAGGGTCCTGTAGAAGAGCAGGAGACAGGCCTGGATTCTCACCCCAGCTTGGCCCTGACTCCCTGCATTTCCCCTTGGAGAAGCGCTTCCCTCCTCTGAGCAGTAAAGCAAGGGGCAAACGGCGCTGGCGAGCCCTTTGCCAACTGGTCTTTGCACAAAACCCTGTGTATATACACTGAGGCTTATTGCTGTTGTGCCTGAAGCAGCTGGGACAGCCTTGGGGACGCTTGCAGGAAGAGGTGGCAGCTTTTCTAGACCGACTTCAAGAACGGCTTGAGGGCTTGTTGGGGGCGGTCAGTCTGTTTTTGCAGCTCTTCAAGACGTCCCCGCTGCCCACAAGGTTATATTAGCAAGCTTAAAAGTAATTCAGCTAGCCGAGCATAGGCGCTGCTCTCGGGACACGTGGCGAGGCTTTCCTCTCGACAGAGGTGCCAGCTCATGGCGGGAAGCTCTCGGGCTGGTTCAAGTCCCACCACAGCCCATTTTCCCTCCAGCTTTGAATTATTCACATCCCTTGAGCCCATATCTGTAGGTGGGTCTGTGCCGACTCCTGTCAGCCGCCGCTCAGGCTGTTCCTCCGCATTTGAACTAAAAACACCTTAATAACGAACGGTGACGTGGGTTGTCACGCGAGTAACGCACGCGTTTGGTAGGAGCAGAGACTCATAACTGTCTAGGATTCAGCCCTGCAGTCATCTAGGAGCAGTCTTACAGTCTGGATGGGGGTTTTTTTTCCATTCCGGATGGAACAAAACCAGTTTCTCATTTAAAAAAAAAAAAAAAAGAAAGTTCCCTAGGACATGAAGCTCAACAAAGGAAAAGGAGCGTGGTCATGCAGTCAGATTGTCCTGTAGCCAGCGCAGGCTTGTTACTGCGAGGAGGGGCTCGCGTCGAACTGGTCGATCTTGTCTCAAAAAAAAAAAAACAAAAAAAAAAACGCCAGTGGGAAAAGAGATGCCCCGTAAAGGTGTCCAGAGGAGCCTTCTGGCTCCAGCGGGCTTCTTCCAGAGTCACGGGGCTTTGCGGTTTTTCCAGCAGGTCTCCTACAAACCATCAATTCCCCATACCAGCCATCCCCCGCTGGGACGGCGCAGGACTAAGCTGGGTTTCGGGGGGTGACGAGCGCGAGTGAAGCTGCCCCGGGTGCAGGGTCGCCGCCTGCCGGGCTGGGCTTGGGCGCCGGGGGG